CTTCCGCCCTGAACGAACTGCACAACCACCCTGAACACGGACAGCCGTCCTGAAGTGGACACTCGGCCCTCATCACAACTGCTACTTCTCATCCGTTGCTTGTCGTCAACCACGGGTCGTTCGCTCATTGCCGTTCGCCGCTTATTCACTCTTTGCAGTTGGTCCTGGCTGTGGGCTACTAGCATTGGCTATGCATGTGGTCACCCTAACATGTGACGAGTGTGCACCACTAAGAGTTGGAGTCATATGTCGAGATTGATTAGGAACATAGTGGAGACGGTGATGTTTCCTGGATGCGAGGCCGCCCATGAAGCGGACGACCGCTATTTCTTTTACTTGCCGGTATTAAAGTTGGGTTTGTTGGTCCCCATTTGGGTGCGTCCTGCAGCACACGGTTCGTTCGTCGTGATCATTTATGCCCATGGAAACGGCACAGACGTTGGCATGTGCCGTAGGGAACTCGACCAGGTTTCCCGGTCGGCTGGCGTCCACATCATTGCTTTCGAGTACCCGGGGTATGGCAAGTGCTCACCGTGTCAGAATTACCGAATCGAAGAAGCGGTGGATATCGTAGCGGAATCGGTCCTGTGCTTCGTACTCAAGGAACTGTACTGGCCACTACAGAATATCGTCTTCTGGGGGTGCAGCATAGGCAGTGGAATCCTCACCAGGCTCGCCAAAAAAATCGACGGCAGGAAACTCTCTTTCCAACTGGGAAAAAACAACCTATGTCCTAGCATCAATGCTGCAAATCAACGAACCTCCAGCGCTACCACTAATTTCAGGACTATCGACCGATGCCGCTGCTTCGCCTGGGACCCCATCGGTTATAATCGATTCCCGCGCGACCTAGGCACCGACGAACCCGCCAATAAAGGAGTTTGCTTCGATATTCATCCAGGAGGAGAGATTTATCCAAAAAACTCCTTTTATCAAGAATTCACCGACGATTTCGAATTTCAAATTTGCCGATGCGTTAACAACCACGAATGCCCCGCCATGGGCCCGCAACTGGGCAGCTCTGGCGCACAACTCGGTGGCCTCATCTTACAGTGTCCCCTGCTGTCCATTAGGAGCGCCGCCTCCTCCTTCGTCGGCAACGTGATGTCACGCGTCGTGATTCCCGACACCAGCTATAACAACGAGACCTCCTTAAAACGTGTGCACACACGTTTGCTAATAATTCACGGGAAGCAAGATGAGATGTTCGACTGGCATGGATCCCGGAAAATGTTGCAAGAGTATGCAGGGGGTGCGAAAATGGGCGTTTTCCCTCCCGACTCCGACCACAATAATTTTGACCTGAGTCGGGACATAATTGGACCGATCATTCATTTCCTCAAGTTCTACGTGGTACCGCAATGCCACAGAGTCTCGCTGCCCACTAACTCGTCGGATCGTTCGTATATACTGTATACTCACCCGTTCATTGAGGCAGGTCCGCCGTTTCCCCTTGATATCATGAAGCAGTACAGGCCAGATATCAGCGATGCGTGTGCTTTGCGCTACATTAACGGGAATGCGCTGACGCTCAATGTGCCAGACGTGGGAGAGCACGCGAGCGAAGTGAGTGCAGCTGCCGTGGCCACTGGTGCCGCAGATACGAATGCTGATGCCCCCACGTTCACAAGGTTCAGAAGGCGGTTAAGGGGAGAACCATTTCTGCCGGCGTATTTGTATAATTCGAGGAAAGTGACGGACCAGCTACCGTGCACAAAACCGTTCCTGTGGCCGGAGCGCCTTGAAACGTACATCTGGGTGGCTTATTCCAAACCCGTCAGACTCAGAGGGACCATGGCCGTCGAGCCGTACGACTACCTGAACAGCACCTTCAACCAAGACGGCAATAAAGTCCCCACTGTGCATAACGTGTACGAAGTAGTCGGACACCACGACATGGAGTACCGACATGACTTCGTTGTCCGCGTGAGCGAGCACAGCATCCGAGGCGCACTGCGACCGGACACATGGCCGGCCACCACGCACGGAAACATCGGCAAATGCTGGCACCTCGTCTCCCGGTCCTGCGACGCCCAAGAAGAGGACGCAGGCGACATCAAGCGCCTCAACTACTTCCAAGACAGACTCGTGTACAACGGCGCGTTCCGCGGAGAACTTCGACAAGGCTTCCTCAACACCCTCTTCGAACTCTTCGTCAGTCCCAAGACTAACAGACTCTCCGACTTCATCACGTGCCATCAGGACATCTCGCACTGCTTCGTCCACAACAAAATCCGGGTTGTCGGCAGCGTAGCCCACTACATCCACAAACAACGCAGGAAACTCTTCAGAGACGAGGAACGCTCCGGCAACGGCAACCGAGCGGCAGGCACCAACATAACCCGGTCAGGCAAGTTCTCCAAAATAGGACACGTCACCACGTCGGCCCTCAGACACCTCGTTCTCACTGCGGCGCTCCCCTGCGTCTACCTGGTCTTCCGGCAAAACACTCCGGCAATGACCGATCCGTCAATGGCCGACCCGACAATGGCCCCTGTCCAGGTCGCTGAGGATGGAGTGTTGAAGGAGGAGGCGTTGTTGGCCATGTGCATTTCCGGCGACGTGGAGCTGGAGTCCAAGCTGTCTGGCATCCGTGGTCCAGAGACAGGCCAAAGCGGTCAGAGGACCTTGCAGACTAGCGGATACAACGTTTACGGAGTGTTCATAAACGGTTTTTTGCTGACTTGCCAGCGCCAGTACGTGGATGTCTCTTCGGGAAAAGTGTCCAGTGCCGGCGCCGGGGCGGCGCCTCTGACCATAGTGGACGCGACGTACATTCCGAACGGCACGGCGGTCTTCAGTGACCGGGTGGAGACGAACTTTGGGTTGTGCGAAACCTTGTGCGATCTCTTTCCGTTTCCAGAGTACATGCTCGTTCCGGTATTTCAACAGGCCGTGGAGGCGCGAGTACGCACGGCATTGGCCGGAGACTTGGTGAAGACGTTCTTAGATTTCGAACTCGGAGCCGGCGACAACTTGGGCGACTGCCCCGCAGCGGCCGCGGGCGACAGCGGTAGCGGCGGCGGCAGTGCAACGGACAGCAGCATGGTGGCGGGTCTGTTGGGCGGTGGGTACAGACCCACGGAGTCCCGACCTCACTCCAAGTTTGAAGCGTATTTATGTCGAAAGGCGCTGTGGTCGAATCGCTTTATGAACACCATTGATTGCTGCATAACTTCCTCCTGGTCATCCGATATATGGTATCCGTTCATGTCCTTATCCGTTTCAGATGGAACGCGCGGTAATTCGAGGACTGGCAAGTTGGTTGCGGATCTAGACCCCTTGGTAGGTAACAATATTCTCAAAATTGGACTTGTCGGGTCTGTCGTTCGGGATATTTATGACTTAATCGGAAGACTCTTCGCTTTGTGCCCTCCCATGATTTGGCTATTTCCAATGGCCATGGTCCCAGGCCACCACGAGAAAACCATCAATATGTTGTTTGAAGCCTTGTATCACGTTCCGAAGTACACCATTCCCCGGAGAGTGCCTCAAAATCGAGCTGAGTTTCAGATTTTGACAGCGCAACTATTCAAATTGGAGCGAGACACACACGTGTGCAAAATATTATCCAAATGCAGTAATCAGAGATCCGTACCAGAAGATGTCTTCTATAATCTTCTGGCCCAATTCGCGGTGAAAAAAAAGCTGTTTGCCAAATGTATACAGCGTCAAGTAGAGATGGAGGAGCGGACGGATCAGCGGAATACGGCAGCCGAGCTGGGTGTTGCTGACGTTGACTTGGCTTGGTATATGTTTCACCGGGTGGTGCTGTGGGGTGCAATGGGGGATGGGAATGAATACATCACGTCGCCCAAGTTCCCCAAGTGTGAGTTTGTGAGTGATAAAAGGACGAATTATTTGGTGAAGATCCCGAGTGCAAATATAAAGGCCCATAACCCGATTGAAGGTCGTTTGGACCCTGTCGTGTATGAACCAATTCGTTTCGAAGATCAGAATTACTTGCGGCACCCGTTGTACACTTTTAGCTTGGAATTTGGCCACCCCGATATGGATTTGGATTTGGATGTTGGTGATGGCAACATGGTTCCTGTGAAGTTTCCGTTTACTATGGACCGGGACAAGCTAGTTCGCTGTCTGCTCCGGGCCTTGGTAGACCCAAGTAGTCTGGAGATGTATTTTGGCCCGTTAGATGCTCCGGCCGTGTCTACATCCGCCGTGAAGTGGATGACGAAACTAACAGAGGCGGAGGTCCAAAAGATCGCCGATTATGACCAGAATGGCGCTGCGGGGGTTCCGTCGGACACAGTGGAGGAGGACTCGGCCAAGAGACAGTGGAAGAATGCTGTGGAATGTGGTCTCACACGACGGCTGCCGATTCGACGACGGCCGGACGAGAGTAACACGGCCCATGACTTTGCGGCCAAGGACGTTGCGGCCAAGGATGTTGCGGCCAAGGACGTTGCGGCCAAGGACGTTGCGGCCAAGGACGTTGCGACTGCGACAGAGGACGGTGTAGAGACAGCGGAGGCGTATATGTGTGCGCTGTGGTATCCGCACAGCCCGGTGGGATACGAGGGCCTGGAAGGGAAGTACACGGGCATTTTGGATGCGATACCGAGTTCTTTGTACGAGCTGCTGAAGGACACGGACTACGTCACAAACGAGTATTTTATGGGTTACTTTGTGTACAGTTATCATTGTGGCTTACGACTTTGGCGGAATGTGCTCAAGTTCCGCC